GAACATTGGGGAGGGAAGGAGAGAGGGGCAGCGGCGGGGGGGGGGGAGGAGGAGATAGAACGGAAAACGTATAGCATCACTTGGCACAAAACAGCATTGCATTGCAGCTAGATAGAAAGATGCAGAGCAGAGAATTTTCAATGCAACGCTCATTTTATCGGAGGACCACTTGCATGAGTACCCCTGGGACAAAAAAAAAAAAAAAAAAAAAAAAATTTGGGTCCTTGTCAGAACTCACCAAGACAATGTGCCGGTCCTATCTGCAGCATCATGCACGTAGATTCCGACAAGGGACATTTGATTATTTCAGAGTTCCACAGGGGAACATTTTCACAACTACCCCTCCCTTTCGATGGAATTCGGGGACGGATAAAGGAAGGCATGAGAGCGGCTATGATGTCGAATCATTAGAGCGAAACAAAAGTTTATACGGTGGACGATCTACAAGTTGCCTCCTCCCACCACCTCGTGGTGTCTGGAACACCAATGCGGGACCTACAACCCATGCCGTTGCAGCTCCGCCAAGTAGACCCCCAACCTGATAACGCAGCAAATGAAAGGACCACAGCAGACAAGACAGAACGAACACCGAGGGCTCAGATCACAAGGATGGGAAAGCAACAATCATGCACGTAGGTCACATCTGGCCTTCTCGTTGAAAAAAAAAAAAAAAAAGAACGAAAAAAGGTCAAATTTGAAATTTGTGACTTATGAAATTTGGAACTCTCAGAGTTTGCACACCGAACCCTCAACCAGGCCTCGTACGGATTCCCCCCCCTCTGGATTGGTCTACTTAACTCAAAGTTGTCATTCATGGCTTGAAGTTCGTACTGCAAGCATTAAACCACCAGTACGTCCAAGCCATGGTAACCGTCCGAACGTCCGGACCGGGTTCATTTAGAGCCCTATCTGTCTACTTCTCTCTCTCGATTTCCCAGTTTAGCCTGCGCTACCTCTTCTCCTCCCCACAAAGACCACCACCACGCGTTATCATTGCAGGAGGAACTGAGACAAAAGCGGTGGAAAGTAGGCGCCTTCCACAACGAACATTATATACCCACTTCCCTCACTTTATCTCCCTTTCTGTACACAACTGTCCTGTCCCACCTATAGATGCACTTACACGTGTACACATTGTAACACACACACACACACAACAGAGAGAGAGAGAGAGAGAGAGAGAGAGAGAGAGAGAGAGAGAGAGAGAGAGAGAGAGAGAGAGAGAGAGAGAGAG